GGATCTCCCCAGAGTTCCCAACGAATGTCGCAGGGGCTTCGCAGGGCTTCCCAGTGGATTCCTCCCACAGCAGTCTTGGGGGCTCTGGGGGTCTCTCCCATTGGAGTGTCCAGGTCGTCCCAGGAGCCCCCCCCCAGAGTAAATGCCACAGCCTTTCAAGAACCTTAGGAATAGCTTTGATTGTTGTCCATGCGCCACTCGCCCCCCTCGTGGCCCTCCGAGGCATCGTCACGGCACCGAAATAGCTCCAGAAAGCCCCAAGATAATCCCCAAGATGCCCCAAAGATGAACCTACGAGGCCCCAAGACGCTCCAAGAGGCCTCCAGGACGCTCCCAAGGGGCCACCAAGAAGGCCTCAAAACGGCCCCAGAGGCCACCAAGACGCCCCAAGAAGGCTCCGAGATGCTCCCCAAGAGGCATTCTATGAACAAAGTTACCGAACTCTCTTCGGACATCAAGACGGCCCAAGAGGCCCCCAAGGTCGTCCCAAAACGACCCAAGAGCCTCCCAGGAGCGCCTCAAGACACTCCAAGAGAGCCTAAGAGGGTCCAAGAGGTGCCGAAGACGACCCAAGAGGGGGACCCCCATCTCACTTACAAGAGCCCTCCGCCCCAAGTGCCCCCCCGAGACTGCCAGCAGGCCAAGACGGGCCAAGACGGCCCCAAGACTGCCGAAGAGGCGCCCAGGACAGCTCCAGACCACCCCAGAACAGGCCCAAGATGAGCCCAAGACCGGGAGCAGGAGGCCGCCAGAGACCTCCGAGACGACTCCGGGACCCCCCAGAGGCCTCCAACACACCCCAGACCCTTGAGAGGCCCCCAAAAAAGCTCCGACGAGGCCCCCAAAACAGCCCAAGAGAGCTTCGAGAACCGTCCCGAGAGAGCCCGAAGAGGGTAAAATCGTTGATTATCAGTGTTTTTTGTTGACTGCTTCGCCTTCTCACGTTTTCTGGTTTCCAACGCTCCAAGACTGAGGAATTTGAAAAAAGGGAGTTCCAGATATTTGTTTTTTCATGTTGGGACTTCTACTCCCTGTCCTCTTCCTCGGGCCCCATCAAGACTTTGGGGTTACATGCAAAGATGTTCCGGGAATGCTGTTGAACTCTCTGACGCTGTCTTGGCACTCTCTTGGATCCTCTTCGTGTCCTCTTGTCCGCCCTTGAAACCATTGTAGACACCGAAATCCCATGATCCCATGAGTTGAAGCAGATGAATTTTAGAAATCTGTTTTTCCAAACCCACCCCTGCTTATTTTTGCACGAAGACCCCGAGGCATCCCAACAGACCGTGGCCTGCATGCAGAAAACGTCGAACCCACTGCCCAGGCGCTACAACTTGAAAAAAAGAAGAAATCCCACCATGCCGTTTTTTTCTCCCAAGTTCGCCCCTGTGTCTATTCTTGCACAACAGACCACAAATAAGGCTCCAGAAGAACCCAGGAAGCCTTCGAGGACCCCAAATCGTTGAATACCTCACGGCAACGAATGATTTGAGCGTTTCCGCTGTTCCCCTTCTATACGATTCCGATGTTTGCGCAGGGCCTCCAAGAGAGTCCTTGGATGGAAGAAACGACGAGGATGATATTCCATGCGTTCGCCCATCAAGCCTAGTTAGAACTCGAGCGCGCGCGAAGCGCGCGCGATGGTTCTACTCACATATATTTATATTTGTGTATGTGCATAATTTGATTGCAAGATCGGTAGATAAATAGTGCGCCCAATAGGCAGTGAGTCCGATAGAAGTTGATCGGTGCACGGAGACGTTTGTCCCGATGCTTGTCCTTTCGTTGGTTTCGCCCACAACCTCCTTCATCGGCTTTTGGCTGGTCTTGTAGGTATTGTTTGACAAGGGTGAGAGGGGGCGCTACCAGCGGGGATTGGTTGGGAATGTAGAGTCGGACCGAGGTATGGTTCTTCGTGTTTGTTGGATGCTCGTGTGCATCCTGGGGAGGGTACCCTTGGATGTTCTGTGTGTTTTGGCCAGTGGAGGGTCTCATGCTCTTGGAGGATGCTCTTCTGTCCCACGCCCGAGTCTACGAGTTCACGCTCCGTGCAGGAGAGCAGGGACGCCTCGGCGTCCGCAGGCGCCAGGCAGCCGAACATTGGACGGCACAGGGGCAGGCGAGCACTTTACGGAATCGATGCTGCGGGGGCCCGGACGGGGGACCAGCCGGGCGACCCGACGGGAGGCCACACGGGAGTCCGGGCGGGAGACCATACCCACGCGGGAGACCGCGCGAGAGTCCGGGCGGGAGGCCAGCAGGGAGACCAGCGGGGAGACCACACGGGGACCATGCCCAGGAGACCATGACCATACGGGAGCCCATACACGCGGAGGCCATGCGGTAGAACACGCCGGAGGCCACACGGGAGACCATAGCCCATGCGCGAGGCCATGCGCGAGGCCGTGCAGAAGGCCACCGGGAGGCCCGGCGGGAGACCACACGGGAGGCGACTGGTCACCGAGCTACCGATTCTGGACCTGGAGGACTTCGCACCTGGCCTCAGAAGAATTTGGCGGGATGGTTGCAGACAAGGTGCTCAGGGGAATCTGAGGACCCAACACGCGAAGGGGGTCGTCAAGTCCAGAGTCAGCCTGGGGGGTGGCGTTCGAGATCCTCTGGAAAAGAAGCGAATCGCCTTCGCCTCCCCCACGCCTGTGAAATCGCAAAGGCCCGTGCGTGTTGAAGGCTGGCGCTCAGAGGCGCGTTCGGCATATCGCGGTGCCTAGGCCTCCGTCTGTGGCACCGCCTCAGAAGGCGCTGAGGCGGCAGATGCGGACGTCTACGATGCGTGCGCCCTCTGGTGGCAAGAACGCGAGCGCGCGCTTTCGCAGCGTTTGCTGGTCTGTAGCGCGCCTGGCGCACGATCCATCCAGTCCTGCCAGGAACCACGTTCCGCCTCCCTCCTCCGCCTCCTGTGTGGGGTGGGGGGGGTTCGATCGAGGCACCTGATGCGTCTGCATGATGCGGTCGAGGACTCTCCCGCAGTGCCGGACGGAGTCCGTGTTGCGGAAGCCTGCGGCTCGGCTCGCCCTGTGCCTCTCGGCTCTCTCCCGAACGGGGTGGGGGGCTCGGCCTGAAGGGATCAGGATCTCTTCTTCTCTTTTTGCCTCTCATCTGAGGCGAACTTTTTGACACATGGTCTGTTTCGAGCGCCCCTTTTTGTGGGCTCTGCTGTTGGCAGAAGTGGCAAAGGGTCACGCTGCCCCTCGGGAGGCCGAAAAAGAGCCCAGGCGCCACCCAGCAGGAGCCCACCCTCCCTCTGTCGATGCTCCAGCGTTGGCCGAGGTCGAGGTCGGCGGTCGGACGGACCTCCTCGGGCACGTCGTCTCCTTCCTCCTCCTCCTTGCCCGTGGATTCTTGAAGGTCCGTGCGACTTGGATGACACAGCTCGGCGGTGGCAGCGTTTTCACTTCGGGCCAGGCTCGGCCTGCCTGTCCGCGTTCCTGTCTCACCGTCTCGGAGCGGCCGACGTTCCAGTTGCAGCTGTCTGCCATGACTGGCCTCTTTCGCTGTCATGCGCACCCGGACAAGCAACACACACAACAAGAGGAACAAGACAAGTCCTCTGGAAAAGAGCATCAACGCGGTGGAATCTGTGCGAGTTAGGGCGTTATTGGGTCGGACCCCATGGGGCGGGACCCGAAGAGTGAGGTGGAAACCTGTGGAGGGGGACCCCGTGTGGCAGAACCGCATGGCCGAGAACCGCCAACGGCATTGGAACATCCAGGGAAGGAGCTCCTCGGTGCAGGGGCTCTGTGGGAATGGTTGGACGGGGCTAGGACGAGGATCAATCCGTTCCAGAGCGTTCCGGAGCGCTCTTAGAGCGTTTTGTGACGCTTTGAGGAGGCCGTGGCGCCCGAGGCGTCCTCCAGGGCAGCCAGATCTCAGAGATTCTCGATATATCCTCACCCGAATTTGTCCTCGTCCTGGCTTCGTCTTACATAGTGGGGACGAGGATGTGGTCGGTCACGGGGACGAAGCGAACGCGGAGGTGTTCAATCAGGTCACCCGCGGGGACGCAGAGATGACCGCGCCCCGTCCCCAGACTCCCGACGTCACGATAGTTTGTTAGTTGACGCCCCTGGGGCCGAGTAGTTCATACCGTCGAGTCGAGCAGTTCTTGTTGACGTTTTGTCTTGTGTGCTTTCAATTTCTTCTGACGTTCGTATTACTTGTTTCTTCCTTCCTAACATCGAGTAGTTTTGTGGACGCTCGCGGGGCCCGGCGGGGGGACCAAGACCCCCGACGTTGCAATTTTTCCACAGCGTCGGCCCCCAGAGGTCTGGACCCGTGGACCGGTTTTGCATCCCGAGTCGGTTTTTGACGGGCCCCCAGAGGCCGGAAATGGGAAAGCAATTCCCGTCCTGATTTTTGTTTGCAGCGCGAGGGATTTTGGGGGGAGGAGGAGGAGGAGGAGGAGGAGGAGGAGGAGGAGGAGGAGGAGGAGGAGGAGGAGGAGAGGAGGAGGAGGAGGAGAGGAGGAGGAGGAGGAGGCGGAGGAGAGGAGGGAGGAGGAGGAGGGAGGAGAGGAGGAGAGGGAGGAGGAGGAGGAGGAGGGAGGGAGGAGGGAGAGGGAAGGAGGAGGAGGAGAGGGAGGATGGAGGAGGGAGGAGGGAGGAGGAGGAGGAGGAGGAGGGAGGAGGGAGGAGGGAGGAGGGAGGAGGGAGGAGGGAGGGGGAGGAGGGAGGAGGAGGGAGGAGGGGAGGAGGAGGAGGAGGGAGGGGGAGGAGGGAGGAGGGAGGAGGGAGGAGGGAGGAGGAGGAGGGAGGAGGGAGGAGGGAGGAGGAGGAGGAGGGCGAAGGGAGGAGGGAGGAGGAGGAGGAGGAGGAGGAGGAGGAGCGGAGGAGGAGAGGAGGAGGAGGAGGAGGAGAGGAGGAGGAGGAGGAGGAGGAGAAACAGGAGGAGGAGGAGGCGAAGGAGAAGAAAAGGACTAGGAGGAGGGCGAGGGGGTCTGGGATGGGGAGGCCACCTCCGGCGGCGGCGGCGGCGGCCCGCAGGCCACCGACGTCTTCCGTGCGGCGGCCGTGGTGTCGGTGGCCGTGAGCGGCCGGGGCCCGTTCGAGGGGCCCAGGCCTCGGGCCGCACGGCGGCGGAGGTTGCCCCGAGAGTAGGGCGGAGGAGGAAAAGGAGGAGGAAAGAGGATGGAGGACGAGGAGGGGGAGGAGGAGGAGGAGGAGGAGGAGGAGGAGGAGGAAAAGGAGGAGGAGGAGGAGGAGGAGGAGGAAGATGAGGAGGGTGAGGAGCGGGTCTGCCGTCCCAGGTCCCCCGGGGACCCGGCGTTCTGGGGCCGCGTGGGTAATTACCCCATGGGCTGGCGCGGGCTGGTTCGCCAGTCTGCGTTAGCCTGCGTGGTGCCAACCTGTGCGGGGGCTGGCTCTGGCCACTGTTGGGGCGGCCCGCCCCTGACGTCGGGGTGTCGGGTGTGGTCAGGGGGGTGGATTCTCGTGGAGAGTACGGCTCAAGACGCGTACCGCTTGGCCCCCTCTGGGCAAGAGGGCTTGTGGGGGCGGGCCAGGTTAGAAGAAGAACCAGGAAGGCATGGGAGCCGCCCGCCTTCGGCGGGCTGGTGGTGTTCATGGAGCACGTGGTGAGCCTGGCGCCTCCTCTCTTTTCTGGTCATTTTTTTTTTTTTCTCTCTCTCTCTCTCTCTCTTACTCTTTCTCGGGCCCCGTTAGGAGCGCAGCGTCCTCTAGCGCTACGGGGTCGCGGGGCGCGGGGCTGGGCGTTTGCCCCCCCGCCCACCCCTCACCCTCTCTGGGCGGCAGGCGGCGTGGACCGAACGATTTCGCATGGCTGCGCCAAGAGAGAGACAAAGAGAGAGATAGAGAGAAGATGAAGAGGAGGAGGAGGAGGAGGAAGAGGAGGAGGAGGGGGAGGGGGAGGACGAGGACGACGACGACGAGGAGGACGACTAGGACGAGGACGAGGACAAGGAAGGGGACGAGGAGGAGGAGAAGAAGGAGGAAAAGAAGGAGGAGGAGGATTATCATTTTCATTTATTGTATGATTTGCATTATTCGAATTATCGTTGTTACTATTATGTTTATGTGTATTCGTATTATTATGATTTGCCATATCATTCGTAGTGGTAATCGCAGTCGTAGTCGTAGTTATGGTCATGGGAATCCGCGAATCTCTTGCGCACGCAGAAAACGAATGTGCGCGACGCTAAGGCGAGAACCACATGTTGACAAAGAACCGCCCTCAATCCGTGAAGCTCTTCCACATGTTCAAGACGAGTGCGCGCGGCGCTGAGGTGAGAGTCGCATTTTGAAAACCACCGCCCTCAATCCGTGAAGCGCCTACAAATATCTAGGGCTAAGTAATGTGCGCGGCGCTGAGGCGAGAGCCACATGTCGAATACCCCCCCTGGAGGAGGAGGAGGAGGAGGAGGAGGAGCAGGAGGAGGAGGAGGGGGGGTGGAGGAGGAGGAGGAGGAGGAGGGAGGAGGCGGAGGAGGAGGAGGAGGAGGAGGCGGGGGAGGAGGAGGAGGAGGAGGAGGAGGAGGAGGAGGAGGAGGAGCGGAGGAGGAGGAGGAGGAGGAGGAGGAGGACGAGGAGGAGGAGGAGGAGGAGGAGGAAGAGGAGGAGGAGAAGGAGGAGGAGGAGAAGGTGTTAACATGCAAGCGTTCAGGTGACTGGGGAGGAATAGTAACCCTGCTACCTTTGGCTCAAGTGTTTAACGGCTGAAACCACCGAGACTCGCTTCGCCGTGCGGGAGTATAAAGGTGACCGATCATCATCACTGTTACTGGGCTCCCGTGCAGAACCCTCCTCGGGGTTTTGCATGGTAGCGGAGCGCGGTTGCCATGGCGGCGGCGGCGGCCGCTGCAGCTAGGCCTGGGCAGGGCGACCCGCCGGTTAACCTCAATGTACCGGCAGACAGAGATGCATGGGTCAATATGGACCCTAATCGATTCAACGACCTGTGCGAGCAGGCATACCTGAACGGAGACTTCAGTTATGTTCAGACAGCGTTACTTGCAAATCACTATGGACTTGCAACGTTCATCAACGAGCGAGTGACACAGGACCGAAGGGAAGTATCGAACGCCGAGGCATTCCAAATGTTACAGAGCGCTCAGAAGACCAACAGCATGTTGTTAGCGATAACGAAGAGAAACGCTGCACTTGAAAGGGATGCTCGCAGGTTGGTGGAAAGAGTCACCGAGTTGGAGACCAACAGCGAGGTACAAGAGAAGTTGATTGAAAAATTCGGTCAGCTTTCGGAAGCAATCAAAGGAGGAAGTGGAAGCAAGCACGGGAGCGGTAAACCGATAAGCGAGCATAAAGCATTACAGGCGTTAAAGAACTTCAGTGGAGAAAGAGCAAAGTTCAGATACTGGAACGACAAGTTCTTGAACGCGCTGGCCCAAGTAAAACCGAGTTACCGACCGGCACTGAAAATGCTGAACAAGAAGTTGGAGACACTCGACGGAGTTGTACCAGAGGAGGATGATGATGACATCATACGCATAATGAACGGTCGATTAACAGCAAGCGAATACTTGAAGGCGAATCCAACTAAACAAGCAGAGGATGACAACAAAGGAGAGCACGAGTTTACCGAGGGAGACAAAACTCAAATGGAGGAAGACTTATGGTACATCCTTAACGAAAAGCTCGAAGGTGCAGAAGCAAGAGGAAAGTTGAAGGGACTTATGGATGGTGATGGAATTATGGCTTGGCAAAAGGTTTACAAGTGGTACTCGGCTGTTACCGGAGCGACCCTGTCCTCAAATATGACACACGCCATGAACCCTGAGCCGCCCAAGAAAATTACTGATACTGTTACCCGACTTGAGGAGTGGAGTGCATTGGCAGAGAATCTTGAAAAGTATGGTAAAGATTACTCACTGCCCCTCCCCTTTAAGGTCACCGCACTCAGGGCAATAATGGTGCATGCGAACGATTGGTTTGACGAGTGGCAGCAGGCGTGCTGGCGAACGCCCGACGCGCTTAACATTGACTCATTCCAGAAGCTATACTCCAAGTGTGAAGATTCGGCGCGTAAAAAGAAACTCGACTCAGACACCAAGAATAAAGGTGCGATGGACATTGGAAATATCAGCGAGACGAGTCAAGGGTCCGAAAATGTCTGGGACCAGACAGGATGGGTTGACGAGGGCGGAAATTGGTGGCCAGAAGATGGGTCTTGGAGTTACGGGTCCTGGGCTAATGAGAGTAACAGTGGAGATCATGAAGAGGTCGACGCCGTAATTAAAGGCAAAGGTAAAGGCACAGGCCCCAAATGTTACAATTGCGGAAGCATGGGTCATTTAGCCAGGAACTGCACAAAACCTAAACAGTTCACCAAAGGAGGCAAAGGTGGCAAAGGCGGAAAAGGCAAGGGTTACCAGGCCACCTACGGGTCCTACATGAAAGGTAAGATTGGAGGCAAACAAGGTGGTAAAGGGAGTGGCTCGCGGGGTGGAAGTTATGGAGGCCAAGGAAAATTTACCCCCCGCAGCGAGCGCGAGTGCTACAAGTGTGGTGCCAAAGGGCATATCGCCGTTAATTGCCCGGGCCCCAAGAAGACCGCCAACGAAGTTGAGCAAGAAAGACCGACGGTGAACGCGGAAAGTGAACAAACCACCTCATTTGGCCAACCGCAACATGTTCTCAGCGTTGAAATGAGGGATGTAGTGAACGTGCCACCGGACCAACTCACAACTGAGGAGGCTAACGGGCAATGGGCACTGCCCTCATATACCAGAAAGAAAATGGCGCGTAAAGTCGCAATGGACCTGAGAAGAGCTTACCATGAGCATCAATACAACGGGAACTGCAATCATGTGAATCAATGGGACCAGAGGATAAGTAAAAGTGTGAAACGGGAAAAAAGTTGGCTGGAGAAATGCAGAGAGATTGGGCTAATCGAGATGCGAGACTGTGATCCAGATATTAACGCGGTGCCACCTCAGAGTACAACGCATGAGACAATTGTGGTTACCGTGGACTCTGGGGCGTACAACACGGTGGGGCCCCCCAAAGTAGGCACCTATTTCCCCATTAAACAAACGGATGCGTCAAAGCAGGGAAGACATTACAGCGCGGCAAATGGAACGACGATAAAGAATTGCGGGCAGCGAGTGGTCACCGGCAAGAATGAACATGGAAACGCAGTCAGCATGCCGATCCAGGTAGCGGAAGTCAACAAAGTTCTGGGATCCGTCAGAGAAATGGTAAACGCTGGAAACAGAGTTGTGTTTGACAAGGACCTTAACGGGAGATCACTGAGTCACATCATGAATAAGGCCACAGGTAAATGCACAACTATCCACGAGAAGAACGGCACGTTTCAGTTCAACATCATGGTGCCGAAGGGACCAGCGGAGGCCATTAATCCCAAGAGCGAAGTGAACGCAGCTGAGGGTTTTCCGCGGCCGGGAACCCTGGGGGCGGACCTGTTCTACTAAGCCCCTCATTACCCGTAAGACCAAGCGAAAACTTAAACGTCTTTAACGCTGAAGAAGGCGAAGGGAGTGAAAGCGGGGGCAGCGAGAGTGAGTTGAGTGATGTGGAGGATGTATTTGTGAGCGACGAAGCGGAGTTACCGAAGAAAGTTCACTGTGACATGAGGCCCTCAAGGGAGGAAGTTGAGGCGCACAACACAACGCATTTGCCTTACCGAAGCTGGTGCCCACATTGTGTGAGAGGAAAAGCACGCAGGCGCAATCACCGGAGACGTAAAAGGGAAAGGAACGGAAACGTACCAGTAATTTCAATGGACTACATGTGGCTTAAAGGGAAAAAGGAAGAAGGCGAAAGTGCCAGCAATGGCAACCCCATTCTGGTCATGCATTGCAGGGGGACCAAATTATCGTGGAGCCGAGTGTTGTTGAAGAAAGGAGTGGACTCATACTCAGTGAAGGTGGGATGTGACATGATCAGCTTTACCGGACATAAGAAGGTTATACTCAAAAGCGATGGAGAAGCGGCAATCACGGCGCTGGCCAACAGGATTAAAGCGTCATGTGACCTCGACATGGGTGTTGAAGTCAGTCCTGTAGGCGACTCAAAGGCCAACGGTGAAATCGAGAGAGCAGTTAGGACGGTGCAAGGG